TACATATCATCCACACAAAAAGACCACCCCACCAAGGTGCCGGTGCCTCTTTAATATAAGTCTACATGTTCCCACACTAGTATGCCACTGAGTAAGATCACCATAATATCCTTAGAATCTTGAAGACAACTGCTTGGACACATTCTATTGAATGCCCATGTCAATCATGGAATGGGATGGGGATATAATTATGTAACTATTCACTCTTCCTTTGTACGGGTCCCCTCTCCCGTCCCTGCCTCCTTTTATTCGTCTCCACTTGGGCATAAAGGGATACCCAAGACTATGATATTACTCACGCACTGTTGTGTCGCTCCAGGAAGATGACCTCCCTGGTTGTTCCGAATTCTCAAAGTGCTGTCTGATGGTCATTGATGCCGACCGTTCTTATCTCTGGTGGGACAATTAATGTTCTTTCTATGAATAGCAGACGGCAAGATGACTGCCCTCCCCCGCAGTCCTTTATATCCGAAATCAATCTTTAACCTTGGACCTAAAAACCTAGGTCCATGCTTTTAATAAACCCAAGAGCAAAAACTGTAGAGGTGTCGATCGTATAGTCGTCACACTTGAATAGATTATGTAAAGTCGTTGGTTCGAGCCCCAGTACGGCACTAATGTCCTTTTGCAAGACATTAATGTCCATCTCCCACTCTTCCCCACGGTGTAATAAAGAAGTTCTATGAATATTGTGAGCTCTTAAATCGGTAGCTTGTCGTAAGCCAGTGTCAGATTAGAGGGCTTTTGGTACCTCTTGTGGTGGATGATAATTATGAGCACTATATACAGAAGCCAATATCATATAATTGAATGCAATATATGCGGATTCTTATGACTTATTGTGTTTGCTCTCACCCCACAGAGAGAGCCTGTGGGCCGTTACTTGAAACCCACAAAGTTCTAACTTCTTGGACTTCCCATTGATATGTGTGTTATAGAATATTTTACAAACACGCATTTCTATGGGATGTCCGCGAACTAAGGGTGCGTTTATCAACTTTTGCCACTCAAAAACAGCATTTCTATACATATAATTATGAAGTATATAGAAACGCAGTATACGAACGTGATTTTTCGATCTTCTTGTAGTTTTAGGCGTATAGCTGGCATGTGCACGCGATGACAATACACTCAATATAGTTGAATCATTCCTTAAATGTTGTAAAGATTATAATTGATTTGTAATATTTTGTTGGAAACAGAAATAAAATTGAATTGTATTGAATCGCATTATACGTAAACAAACGTTAACAATGGACGTAGGCATGCTTGTACAACATGACACAGCGCATGGCGCGCGCTTTTTCTCCGAACCGGAAATTAGCCTGGGAAGGTCCGAAACATATTGAACAGCTTTGCGTTTAATCATCTCTCAGAAACGTCATTCTAGCTCATAGTAGGTATCAAAACGCACTTTTTCGGCGTTTCAATATGCACATAATTATGTAAAGACGTATGCCTAAATGTGTCTGCGTTTATCAACATGCAAATTTGCCGGAATTACGTTTGAAAACGCTGATTTATTATGCTAGAAAGGAGTTGATAAACGTACCCTTAGACTTATGACCGTTTCGAGTAACGGCCCCCTTGAGAAGGCTAATGGGGTTTCCTAAATCATGATCCTGTGAATAATTTAATCATAATCACGGATCTGCCCCCTTTCAACGTAGTCAATTCTAACTCCCAACATATTTTACCACGTATTGTATTCTTGATATGCTTACGAACTATTAAGTATAGCGTAAGCCTTATAAGAAGTTAAGAGGATACGCCCAGTTTCATCTTCTCCGCAACGAATCATTCATGGCCGGTTTGGGTAGACTGCGTGAGGGAAAGTGTGCGCAAGAGGCCAGTTTGGAAATACAATCTAAGCACATGCAGACCGGTTAACCAACATATTCAAATGTTATGAATATTTTCATACAAAGGTTGTTCTTGACAACCTGAAAGCAGGAAGCTGTAATGAATGGAGATATCGTCTCGAAAGAATTTTCCGAGGGAAAAATATTCAAGATTAACCTGGCTTAACAAAAAGAAATGTAACCCTCTCCAGGCATCATTTCCATCAACAGCTGTCCATATCAATACACAGTCCCTCTCTGCAATTCCAAATAGTACGAAATGTTACGCAACGCCATCTGCTTCCCTAAGTTTTCTATTCACTCTTTTGCAAAAATATGCAAGCATCGGGCTTTGAAGCCATGCGTGGCACCGAAAAATAAAGTCATGTTCAGTGAAGATGTATTTAGCTATAACATATAAAATACAGAATTCACAACATATGACCAATGCAACTTTCTATTAGTCATCAAATGCCTTTTCCGTTCTCGGATAGCTCTACTAAAGACATTGCCATTTCAGCCAGCGAAATCGACCGAGGAAATCATGAGTTAGAGCAAATAAAAGGTTTTCATCATCATGATTTCTCATCTAATTATTTACATTTTCCGAAAATTTCCGAAATGTGTACATAGCTAGGAAGGTAGTCCAAATGTTAATCTTCCTAAAGAACTAAATGAAATTGTGTTATATGTTTGCGCATTTATTGATTTAAAGAGAAGGTTGAGTTCTGGGAAGAGGTGAAAAATAATTTATGAGCGTTGTCATTCTTATTATGCAAGTGTGGAAGAACATCAGATAAGACATGTTCCCTGAAAAGCATGGCTCTTCAAATGCCTTCATATTCTAAATATGTCATGTACATCGTAAAACTCGGGGGGTAGGTTTTTTACGACACGTGTTTGTGTAGTCCCATTTACATCTTTTTGTGTACAGTGTTTGTAACTTCATCAAGACTTGGCCAATTTCTTATCATTTTGATGATTCCAGAACCTTGCAATACACACAAATTCTTATATGCTAGATGATAAATCTTTTCTGGTCGATTCCACACCGTTTCTTTCACAATGCAATCGCATGACCAGAACTCAACTTCATCTTTAAAGCTAGAAGTTGTCAAGTTATCACCACTATTCACCCCAGTACGGGCCGGCAAAGCAAAAGCCGCCGTGCTCGCTGGGCTGGGCTGTGTGTGAAAAGGGAAGACTTAGTGCTACTAGGGAGCTGTACGGTTTCGGAGGGGGTTAAGGGGATTACGGTATGGGAAACAAAAGACGCGCGGTGCCACGGATGACTTCAAAGGGGCCTCTTGGACGGGATCTCCATTAATTACAGCTTCCTGCTGAAAGCTTGTTCGAGGCTTGCACGACATATCAACATGCAATGTATGCGGACTGGATTCCAAGTATTGTAACAATACTGGAATCCAGTCCAGTAATTTATTCATCATCACTAGGTCCCCAGGAAAGAAAGATCCATACATTTGAATATGTTAGTAACCGGTCTATTAACAAACCAACTGAAAAAAATACTGAATTAGTGCTCATTAATGTTTATTATCGGTTTATTCATGCCCTACCCCTATATTCCATGGTATACGGGTGATAGAACCTTTTTTTCAAAAGGGGGAAATATAAAAGCTATTCGTGGAGCACCTCCATTACTCTAAAAGTGATTATTCTTAAATTCACAAAGTGGGACCTCTTCATGTTTACAAGGTCCGTGAATATTTTGGGGTTCTTTTCTACCATGGGCTAATTACGAGCCGGTCAACTGTCCTCGAAGACATTAATTCAAATGTATTATATCCCAATTTGCAAAATTTTAAGTATAACTGTCTGTAACCTAGCTGGTTCAGACATTATTAATCCATTAGATGTTTGTTAAATACAAAAGAATGTTAGGGGTGACAAAGGATGATCTACATCTAGCCTATATATACCACATAATGATTTACTCGATTTCAAAACGACTGGGGAGTTAACCTTCAAAAATAAAGACCTCACTCCACAACTTTAAGAGCTGTGATTTTAGTGCATTATTGACAAATTTCTTACAAAAGTCATGAGCAAATCCGCAGTTGTCCATTTCAGATTGATTTACGGCTACTCTTATTTGTATTTATAAAAGTTCTCATCATCATGGTCTTAGATTCTTTCTTTTTTGTACGGTACATGAACCCCCCCCCCCCCCCCCCGTCTAAAAGTTAATCACTGTCTTGCAACTTTTTTTCCTGTTCCTTTTTTTAATCTACCTGGATTAAAATACCGCGTCAGGCCCTGTGTTAACTCCTTTGTTGTATGTGCGTCTGTATAAAAATGGCGCCGTGCTGATCGAGGTTGGTAGGGGGGGGGGGGCACTGAACACTAATCCAATTCAATGAGCCGGAAAGACAGTTGGCTTTACATCTTATAGAAAAAAATCCAAATCCAATCGTACGTGGTAAGTGGTTAAAAGAATAAGATTGCACACACACGTCTTTTTATTTTTTTAATCTTAAGAGGCTTATTAAAACAGAATAGACGCACACTCTAGCTGACTGACTCGCGATTTTCACAGTCCATCACCTTTAAAACGTAGAAAAATTATCGAGTTCAAAGCCCAACAGTCACATCAACCTTTAGGAAACTATGTGTCCAACTTGGTAGATGTTTGCTCAATTCGGAGTGAAAGGCGATGGCAAAACATCCCTTAAGGTGAATACTAAATTGCCTAAAAGCTGGTCGAATACACAATGGCCTCAGCTGGATAGGTTTAAACCCATATTTCTATATCATCTTTACGCTAAGTAGCACACATTAAATTCATGCCGAGTACTAGACCATTGTGACCAAAGTGTGAAAGAAACTGTATCTTGAAATTATTGGGAACAATAATTGATTAAGAAAAAAAATGGCGTTTGAACTCTTCAAAGTGGAAATGATGAGGTCATGAAAATCAAAATTTGATTCACATTATTTTGTAGATTATTTCTCGCCATTAATAAATTTTGAGTCTTCGTTTAATTTGACATTGCAAAAAATGACGGTCTTCCACATAATTATAGTGAACGGAAATATAATAAAATTAGAACGCTCACAAACAAGTTATCACTTTAACTACAACTCGTCATTCTCTGTAAATGTGCTGGGCGTTATTTTAAAAACAAAAATACTACTTACCCCAATAATCAATGCTGCCACAAAAAGCACCGGCCATATGGTTTTATGGAGTGAATCGTTGGTGTGCTGGACGCGAGCGATATTCTCCGATTCTGAAAAAGGTGAAAGAAAAATGATTGCGTTCATTGTCTCAACGATGATCTGTATAAGTATCAAATCATAAACCGTTTTAATAATAATACACCAAGGGCCCATATTCACGTAACATTATAAGCCCATTTGGCAACTGAATTGCTCTCTAGTTGTGATCTAAGAATTAGCAGGTAATCATAAGACCTCATTAAGTTTAGTTTGCAACTATAGGCCCTGTTCATGAATCCTAGTTGGTAGCTTAATGGACCCTAAAGTTGTCAACTAAATCTACTTTAGTTGCCAACTATGTCAAACTGGTATTCATAAAACTTGACTTATGTCAGTTGGCAACTAAATCTCTCCCCAAATTTAGAGTCGATATAGGGTAACTCATTACTTGTGGGCAAGAGTGGTCAGGATCTCATAGAATTGGAAGAATCTTGTCACGAAAAGGGAAGAGAGAGGGTATATAGGAGGAATCCCACAGACACACTAAATGATGCAGACTAGTTAAGTGCTACGGATTCCCCGAGGAAAGTTATCTTACTTATTTATCACTCTTTTTTGTTCAAATTATAATCCATTTTATGATAAATGTCATCTCAACCCCAAATAAAAAATAAAAGACCTTTTTGTGGCCGTTCTGAAAATCATTTCCTTTCCAACTTTGTTCATCCCCTCTCCCCATTGAAGAGTTTGTATCGAACAACATTTTGCACAGTGCATTCATGATTGTACTTGCACATTTTTCAACGAAACATACATTCACAACAAGACAATAAGTAGTGTTATAAACACTTTAACAAGGCTATAGAGCTCTTCGAGTAATGAAAAAACAATAGATAGGAAAGAAAGGGAAAACAGAATAAAGAAAGAGCTAGAAAAGGAACCCGAGAGCGCTTTATTCTATTCTCTATTTGACATTAAATCGATTGACAAAAATGGACTGGCAACGCTGCACAAGGACTTATGTAAATTAGTAAACTTCTAGCCTATGTTGTACTTAATTCTAATTTCACCACCCATGTCTACTCCACCAGCAGGCACACAATAGCTAAAGTTCTCAATTAATTATTGAGGTAGTTACCTTCGTATAAGTGGTAACTATGGTAACTAGCTAGGTACCACCTAAGCCCTGAAAGACAACTAGCTTAGTAAAACAAAATTGAATATAGGTTTTGATCGATAAAGAAAAATTGTATCATATTATTGTGACAAAGGCAAACTGTGTTTATTTTCACATTCTATTATTAGAAGTTTACTAAATATAAGGAAAAGTTGACCTGTACAAAATACTGCGCAACCTCTCTCTCTCTGATTTATGTAATACAAAAATACAAAAATATAGTAGCCGCAGTTGACTTTTGTTCTGTAGGGTAAATGGTAACAATGCTTCTCCTGTCGATTTGTCAATGAATTTTATTTGTGAGAAGAAAATTGACGTCATTTCTAATCAATCCTGAAAAATCATTAAAGTTCAAAGGAAAGTGGTTATTACTCTTTAAAGGCCCACTGCACTACTTATAGCTACTTGCGCCCTCTATATAACAAACAATGCCTAATCGGTGACCATTGGTCCCCCATGATCCTCTTTTTCTTATGTTAACTGAGAGCTGAGTTGATGAGATAACCACCTGTTCAGAGACCGTGCAGGGCGGTCTAATCCCTCCTGTAAACTACGGCAGATAAGCTTTAAAAAGAAATATTTTAGCAATATTCATCATTCTTCCTCTAATTTTTCTTTACATTTATATTGTGATATAATGCCCACAGGTTCACACGCACACCAACCCTCATCTCTCTCTCTCTTATGAACACATCCACACACATCGTTATATACATAAATACATACGTCATGTACAACAATCCATGTTTACGAATCTGTCGGAGCGGGTTGGACGTGCGGGGTGCGTGAGTTTTATGTGCGTTGGTCATGTGTGCGTGTGCGCGCGTGTGTGGGTGCGCTTTATACTTACTCGATAAAGATGAATTATTTTCTGGCGAGGCTGTAACTTTGTTGTATGTCACACCCACTGAGCTAACACGGTTGTCAGTGAATAATGTTGTAGTGGAAACAGATGTTGCTGCATCAGTTGACGTAACTTCTAATGTGGTTTGAACTAAAAAGAATTGAAAGAGAGCGGCATAGAAATGTTATGGTAAGAAACTAAAACGAGACTTTATAAGGATAGTTTCACACAAATATTTCAATATACTTTCTGGCAAATTTGACTATTTCGCCTGCCTATATTTCAATGAGTGCTGGCGTTCAAAGGATTTTTTTTGCACCTGCTATTACAAAAACATAGTAGTGCATTTTAAATATTCAACTTTATTTTAGACCAAGTGAGAATGCAATTTAGCTGCTCAAGTTCACGTATCCAATAGGCATGCAGGAAGGAGTTTCGAGATAATGATGGCTCTTTGATCAGGTAGATATTATGTCTTGTATGCAAAGAGTTTGTTAGACATCTTCTTGCAATTATAAAGACCTCATGTTTCGTTACCTAATTTTCTATCGTTTTTCAAGTTTGATAAATAAATGTTAGTTTTCATTTGCCATTCCTTTTAAAGTTCTTTTTCTAATTTCCCCATTTCCTTAATATTCGACGTTTTTTGGCTATTTACTTCTCAAGTACGGTTTAATCTTACTCATAGCCTATTCAATTGAAATTTATTAGTAGTCCGCATAGCTCTCTTTTTTTGTTTACCCCTTTTTTTTAAAAATCAGAAAAACGACTTATTAAATCACGTCTCTTAATCCTACTCTATCCTGTCTAAAGGCCTCCAACGCATAGGAATCGCTTTGAAACCCCGGATCGTTCGTTCCAGACCGCAAGTCTTCCTATTATTCCCCAGTGAACTTAATGAAGCATTCCTAGAAAAACAACTATCTATTCATCAATACAAGAGATTAAAACCATCAACAGGGAACTTATCCACCCAAGTCAGGTTTGATAAAAGATTTAGAGACAAGTTGCCCCGTTTTATTTTTACCCATGCACTAGTTGGAGATTCAAATATCAAAATTCACTATTTCTCATTTCTCCTTTCATCTCAATATTTCTGCTATACTTCTACAATAATATTGTGCATTCTTTTAGTTCTTACTCCTTTTTCAAGTTGAAAGAAAATACTCGAAACTTAAAAGGTAAATTGTCAAGTACCTGTAGTGGGAAGTGATATGACGTTCAGCATTTTTGTGGGATGCTTGTAGCACGAGCCTGTTGTCTTGTCTGTTAAGCAACAACCATACAATCCGGAGTCTTCCGATTCGACACGAAGTATTGTCATTGTGCAAGTGACCTTGTTATCGGCAAAAGTCGGGCCAGATCGGAGATATTTCAGGTTTTCTTCAATAATCGTCTCATTCTTGGTGAAGCTGATCGTAGCACATGAAAAGTGGGGGCTGGTTCCGCCAGAGATGAACACCCGGCAGTATAGCGTGACGTTCGAGTACTCGGCAGTCGCCCATCCTTCTTGACTTTCGATAAAAGTGGCTGAGGAAAATGAGGAAAAATTATTGATCTCAAATCAATTTGAAACATAATTCTAAGGCAGTTTAATCGAAATAATGACGTTGATTTAAAGTAATGCAGTGTTATAGTGGCATTGATAATGATAATGTAGAATATTATAACCTCACTTATTAAACTAGGGCTATTTGTACCAATTGTACGTTCAATTAAATCATGAAGAAATGACAAATCTTGAAGGAAACTAGTTGGCAATACTATAATAACCCTTATTCATGACGTCGTGTGAACGCTATCAAAACCAAAGGTGACAAATCCTGAAATATGTTTGTATAACGATTGCATTTTCCCCTGTATGTCTTCTGATTAAACCCGACATGGTGACTCGAGTTAGAAACAAAGGAGAAACTTAGACTAGGCAACACCCCCCCCCCCCCCCTCCACTCCGGGAACGGAGGGACCGCATGCGTGTTCCTAAAATCTCCGGCTCGTAACAAAAGAAAAAGGTCTACCCGTATTGACTTTACACACGGGACTTATGCTGAAAAGGGGGGGGGGGGGGGGTGCTGGGAACACGCATAATTATGCGTACCCTAAATAACACTGAGTGGGGGGGGGGGGGGAACACCTCGGTCTATATATAACTTCCTTTGTTAAACTCAATATTTTAAGGCCGAGCTTAAACCCATCGTCTGGTCTAGATTTAAGTAGGATATTGACATATTTTGTCTTTAGCCAAACTTAGAAGTTTACAAGGTTTGACGTGGCTTATCCTAGATCGAGGGTCACCTTGATTAATTGTGTATATTCTACGAAAGAGAATACAACTAGCTGTTTCCTTTATGCATGACAACATGTGGTTTAAATCCGATTGCAATACTGAATTATTATACTACATGTATTAAAGGATTTCATGCCGGTATCAAAGTTGGAACCATAAGGCAATACTTATGCTTTACATAACAAAAATTACACCCCTTTTTATGCCTCCGTTACGAAGTAGCCGGAGGCATTATGTTTTCGGGTTGTCCGTCCGTCCGTCTGTACGTACGTCTGTACGTACGTACGTCTGTACGTACGTACGTACGTCCCGTTCTCGTGATCGCGTTATCTGAAGAACCGATTGATGGATTCCTGCCAAACTTTGGTCATGTATGTATCTTGCAGAGCCGATGAACTGATTAGATTTTGGGGTTACGATGTCAAAGGTCAAAGGTCACAGGGCTCATTATGTATGCAAAAACAGCTCGTGATCGCGTTATCTGAAGAACCGATTGATGGATTCCTGCCAAACTTTGGTCATGTATGTATCTTGCAGAGTCAAAGAACTGATTAGATTTTGGGGTTATGAGGTTAAAGGTCAAAGGTCACAGGGCTCATTATGTATGCAAAAACAGCTCGTGATCGCGTTATCTCAAGAACCGAGTAATGGGTTGCTGCCAAACTTAGGTCATGTATGTTACTTGCAGAACCGATGAAGTGATTAGATTTTGGGGTCACGAGGTCAAAGGTCAAAGGCTACAGCGCACATTATGTATGCAAAAACAGCTCGTGATTGCGTTATCTCAAGAACCGATTGATGGATTGCTGCTAAACTTAGGTCATGTATGTTACTTGCAGAGCAGATGAACTGATTAGATTTTGGGGTCATGAGGTCAAAGGTCAAAGGCCACAACGCACATTATGTATGCAAAAACAGCTCGTGATCGCGTTCTCAAGAACCGATTGATGGATTCCTGCCAAAATTAGGTCATGTATGTTACTTGCAGAGCCAATGAACTGAGTAGATTTTTGGTTCATAAGATCAAAGGTCAAAGGTCATGGGCTCATTATGTATGCAAAAATAGCTTGTGAACACATTCTCATTAGAACTGACAGATGGATTACTATTTAACTCAGGACATCTTGCAGAGCCAATGAACTGAGTAGATTTTAGGGTCATGAGGTCAAAGATCAAAGGGTCATATATGTATATGAGAAATTGCTTGTAATCACGATATTCTGAGAACCTGTTAATGGATTACAATTGAACTTGAATTCGAAAAATGTCTTCTGTTTTGGTTTGTAAAATTGCTCTATGACGGAGGCATCATTTTCGACTGCGCGCAGTCGAATTCCATCTAGTTTTCTTATGACGGTGGGAGAAAATCGTAACAGAACTTGATCTTAGAAATACAGTAGGCTTGCGGGTGCACCACGTGAGAGAGAGAAAGAGAGAGAGAGAGGGGGTTGAGGAGTCCTGGAAAGGACTCTGACTCGGTAATCTTTCTTGGGGGTGTGTAGTCTCTCTCTCTCACATGGTGCACCCGCAAGCCTACTGTATATCTACATCACCATACAAGCCGACACTTACAAGCAGCATCTTGATCTTAGAAGTAGTGCATAGAAATGAAAAATATACATATTTTTTTAAAACCATCATATTCTGGTTCATTTCTTCGGATTCTTTGTTACCGTCTTGTTTGCGTTTGCCTGCCAATATATTTTATATCCCTGTTCTATCTGGACAAAGCAATAGTAAGTTAAGGATTAAGGTTGACCTGGTTGAGTGGAGTCAACTCTAACTTTCTCAAAAAGAATCTCTGAGTCCTACATGGCTTGTGCATGTAAGTCCAAAAATACGATATCAGATTCAAAGTCTCAGAATCACGTTTGATTTTTTTTGAAAATCAATTTACCCATATTCAATCAAGTTTTGTAATGATTAATTACATTCGTATAAACAGGGTCATACGTTTTTAGTACTAAATTTCCGAACTGAGTTTCTACAATTTTGCAAAGCTACCAATCTTTTAGTAAATCAGTATCAAATAACAAATTAACGAATCTATTTTAATCCTATCGAATCGAATGCAGTAAATTCCAGAGCCTATAATGATAATCAATGTGGATAATGTGTTTTCGTACTCTGATCGTTCAACCACTTTGTGTTACGCAAAAAAAGCGACACAAATAAAATCGTCGCCGGATTTTACAATCATTATCAATTGTGTCAGTATTTTAATAGTTTTTTAAATAACGGATTAAACGAAGTTTAACGTACCATGTATTTTTAATTTCTTAATTTCCAGTCGAGCAGTAATCCATCTTTTTAAGGAATCCATTTCGGCAGGGTTTTTTTTATCATCAAGTTGTGTACAAAATAATTCATTTATAGATTTTTAATATGTCTTCTGGTACGTTTTGTTAGACATGAAATGTTAGGCAAGGGTTAAACATATTTTAATCTCATTTTAATTTGTCAAGAGAAACTCATCAGATGGCACAGCATGCAAATCCACATACAATGATGTGATATAATACGCTCCGGGGAACCTGTTCGGAAGATCGTCAACCCAGAAATAAAGGGAAAGAAATGAAATGACTTATAGGTTAAGCCCACTCCAAAAATAATTTGCTTTGAATAGATGCAGAAAACCAAGAGAAACAGAGCAAATTAAATTTAAGTAAAATCGGATAAAGAAGTTATGAATTTGTTACAAAGTATGAAAAACTATCGAACTTAGAAAATCACTAGACAAGTTGCCAATTTGGTTATCAGTTTAGGACGTCATTGCCTCACTATATTAATCAATTGCTTTATAATTACATGTATATTATGATCCAATTAATTTCCCTTTTTATCTCCAAAAACTTGATTCCCCCATGCCTTTGCCCAGCTTATAAGTTTTGTATCATATTGCGTGCATGAAATTTCACAACATATTTTATGAACTTTGAAGAATAATTGATACTATTTTCTGAATATCGTATATTCATAATCAGTGATTTTTATATAGTTTATAGTTTATCAAATTCACATTTTTCATGATTTAACTGAAAAATTATTACTCTATATGTGCATTTTATAAATTTATATTACCAATATAACGAAAACAATTAGCGGGTAGTGAGGCAATGACGTCACAGACTCATGAGTGAGCTGCCAATTTGTCTAATGATTTTTCAAAGTTTTTTATGTTATTAAAAATTCATAACTTTCTTATTAATTTATCCGTTCTTTCTTAAACTTGTTTTGGTTGGTTTGGTTGATTTTTCTGCTTCTATTGAAAGTAAGTTATTTTTTGTAGTGGACCTTAAGCTCCGCCCCATTATCATGGCTCTGAAGTGTTTCTTTGCCAAGTTTCGCTATAATGTCAAAATAGAAGATCGTCTCACTCGGTCGCTACGCTTTCTCGAAATGCGGAATCGGCGATACCAGTGGCGGGATGCCTTTCTTCATGTGAAGAGCGAAAGGGAAAACCCTTTAAAAAATATGGGAAATCACCAAATATTGTCTGATAAAATTAATGATTATTTAGCGCTGCCTAACTCATCCATTCGAGAGTGCAAATGTACACCTTTAAGTCAGATGTTCATATGCCTATGTCATCAAAAATAATGTGGTAGTTAAAACTACAAACTACTGAAGAGCTAAAAATTTCTCCTCATAAACAATATAATGAAGATATAACTCCAAGGGTGTCGTTTTATTGACAAATATTTATTGTTATACCAAAAGGTGCACAATATTCGTATTACGGAGAAGAGGCTCTACTTCGTGTACACTCGAATACCCTTCCCCGCTGCAGTGGTTGCTACACAATGCTTCCCATGCATGTTGTATCCTTATGAACACATACTTTTATCTCTTCTTCTTTTTTTTTCTTTCTTTTTTTTACTTCTTTCGTTTTTCTTTTTCTCTAATCCACATATCTGCAAAGGTTTCCTTGTTGTTTTTTTTTATATCCTGATTAATCTTCCTCCATTGCATGTTAATATATTTTCTAATCTGTTACTTTGAAAAACCTTTTCTATATAGCGCATTTTCCATTTCAAAACATCGTTCTACATGCAATTATTTGATTTCTCAGTGCACTACTGTTTCTATGGTTCAGCATGTATTGCTTTACCGATTTCCTTCTTTAGTCTTTCCTTATTATCTTTGATTATGCCTTTCTGTTTATCCCTAATTATTTTATTTCATCCTTTATCTGTTGATTTTCATGCAGTCATCTTCTCTTTCGGTTTGTGTAAATATAATTCGCCGCACGGGTACATAATTATTTTTCGCCAGAGGGATGTAGCTCACGCCACTCGCCCGATTATTGACTTTCCAGTATCTTAATGGCACTAGGGCTAAAGAGAAAAGCTTGCTGTTGCTAATACTTGAAGTTCATCACCCAAGCAGCACCCTGCAATCAATGTAGCATGTTGAGTTGTATTTCTTTAAAGAATAGTGAAATAACATAAAAACAGGAATCACAAATCACACTGCTAGCCACTTACCTGCCGAATGGACCTGTATAAAATCCTGAGACAGAATAAGGATGACGAAAGTCACGACTGATATTCTAATTCCTTCAGATGACAACATTTCCAAGTGGAGTGGAAGGAAAAATGAAAAAAAGAATTGTTCGTTGATGGCTGGAAATCCCAACAGGAAATCTTGAGATAAACCCACTTGCAGGGGGTTAGTCCGAGTCTACTTGAGGACCATATCACCCGCTATCCAATCCATGATAGACGAATATATCTTCCATACCATTGTGGCCCAAGCGAGAGGCGGGTGAAAATAACCCGAAGGTTTCTGCCGCTCGAATGAGTACAACCAGGGAGGTGAGACAGTAGTCGCGCAGTGCTATAGTATGGTTACTGAGCCGTTACTGAGGCCGAACTATTATTTCTCGGAAGAATGTCAGATTTCCTGATCAACTTTTGTTAGCTTAATAATAAGACTACATTGGGAGTCGTCCATAAAATAGTCCATAGACGCTAATCTGATAATAGGAATTCAAATGTACTTTAATGCATGTTTTTTAGGATGCGTCATCAGGGGCGGATCTAGCTTTTTGCTAAGGGGGGGGGGTTGACCAAAATAATGACGATGCGGAGCATCGTCCACGAGCCGCGAAGCGGCGAGCCGATTTTTTTTTGGGTGTTTATTTGAACCTCGTAAGTGATGTTTTCCTGGCATCTATTAACACAATGGAGACCATAAAAAGCAGTGCATGATAACGTCTTTTTAAATCAAGTAACAGTTAAATACACAGTTATAACCAGAGTTATCATGTGTTTGGTTAAGTTACCAGATGAGTTGAATATCTTCTCACAATATTTGCGCTTGAAAGGGTTTCTCTCCAGCGTGCATTCTTTTTTTTTTTTTTTTTTTTTTTTTCTCCTTTTTTTTTCCTTTTTTTTTTTTTTTTTTTTTTTTTTTGGGCCGCCCAAGGGGGGGTTTAAACCCTCTAAACCCCCCCCCCCGTAGATCCGCGCCTGTGGGAGGATGCCACTAGATGTAAGTCTATTACCATTTATTTTTATTTCAGGCGATAGTGATTAAGAAAACGATTATCTCTTTTGCTCCAGTCCGTGAACGGTATGGAGCAAAAGGAAATAACTAGATTAGAACTAATATGTCTGAAATATTATTAGGCATTGGTATTTTGTGAGTATTTTGTTTATGATAAAAGATTATTATCGGCATTTTCATTTCCGGAACCGGAAGGTAAATAGCATAATGAGCAGCCCAGCTCAGCGTGCGTTGCCAGGTTAAATCTTCACAAAATCCCCACCCAAACGACACTTAAAATATCCCCAAAGTTGCCAAATTTTGACAGAAAATCCCCAAATTCGTTTTTCATAAAACTCAATATTATTTTTTATTCCCAAATATTTATTTTTCATCCCCAAAGACTTCAACAATCCCCCAATTTTTTTTTTTTTTTTAATGTGGGGATTTTGGGGATGAGAATCGGCAACGCTGGCCTAGCTTGTCACTTCGGCGGTGGCCCGTGTCCTCAAAAAAGCTGATGGGGGGGGGGGGGGAGGGCAAGGGACTCTGTGACATTTGTTCGCCCAACCCCCCCCCCTCCCCCAAAAAAGAAATAATAATAATAATAATAATAATAATAATAATAATAATAATAAATGAAATAAATACATAGAAATAGAATAAAATAAAATTACAAGTTTAAAAAAAAAGATAAGATTTTAAAAAAATGGTCCTCGGATTTTTTTTTTGGGGGGGTTGCAACCCCCCCCCCCCCAAACCCCCCTCTAGATCCGCTTCTGGTCATGAAATTGATCAATAAAAGATTAATGGGTGGCTGACAGTGATATCGGACTCCTGTGAAATGGCTTATGTGACTTGTTATAATTGATGTTAATATCCCGGGTTTCGATGTCATGACTGGTGGCGGTGGAGGTGCAGGTGTGAAGGGTGATAGAGCGTGAGAGAGAGACAGACACAGACACAGACAGAGACAGAGAGAGGGAGAGGGAGAGAGAGACAGCGAAATGTTGCAACTAAACGGGCGAGATATTATTTTGTAAAGGACCACCCCCTCAACATTTTCGTGTATGTAACTTACGAGTTGCGTCGCCCGTGGTGAAATAACACTTTTGTTTTTGTTGTTGTTTGTTTATTCGCTTTTGTTTCCATGTATTTATTTCTAGAAAGCTTCCCACCTGATATCTTTGATATCAGGATTTTATGATAATCCCCAACTAGTACCGCATCACGATTTCTCTTCAGTTGATGCACATATTGAAAGGAGTTGATTATCAATATACACTCTTATTTCCACGGCGTCAACATTCACTCTAAATGGCGTCAGCTTGGAGTCAACTCTATTCCTAGTTAAAGTGACACGGATTCCGAATCAATTTGACTCGGATTGTGTGGCATCAGCTGAGAATTGACTCAATTCAGAGTCAAGATGACTCCTTTTCCGTGTCACTTTAACTAGGAATAGAGTTGACTCCCAGCTGACGCCATTTAGAGTGAAATTTGACGCTGTGGAAATAAGAGTGTAGACCACTCTTGTACTGCATTGTCTCTCCGTATAAATACGAGGTGTTTATCTCTCTTTCCTTCTTTCATCTTACCAAAATGACTAGAGAATGATTAACTTGTTGACTCGCGTTGTATATAACGTTCACTGCCTTCTTTGGGAGGCAATTCCAGTGCTTTAATGCCTTTTGAAGGAACGATGGCCCCATTGTGTTCTGTTATAATCAGGAAGAATTACCTGTTGTGAAAACGTCGTTGATGACATGATATTAATACTATAGATTCTCACCTAACATCGGCAGTGCACTAAACAAAAAGTCAATAATGAAGGATAATAAGATAGATCCCCGTAGACCGACAGTCTATACCGACAGTATCAGTCTTTTGTACCAGAAGAGAAGTTGTCAAAAGGCCATAGCGAGGCTGGTATTGTTAACATCCTGGGCTCACGGTCTTGCGGCCCGCCATCAGTCTCACGAACCCTCATAATGTGACTCTTCCAATTAGAGTCCGTGTGACGAAAATAGTCTGTCTCATGGGCCGAGACAAGAAGGGCTCGCCATGCACTACAAATAAGGTTCCTCCTCCTTGGATACAAACTTAAGTCCGGAATGATTTATTCTGAAATATCCTCGAACATTAGGATTAACATTCAAGGGTATATGTATGGAAGCTGAAAATGCAGTCTTTTTTTATTAATTTTTTTTTTCAGCCATTATCGATCCACAGCAGGATGGAGGCCTCAGCATGCTGTCTCCAAATGACTCTGTTTAGTGCTTGTTGGTGCCAATTAACCTTTCCCCAGTACTGTTGCAGCTCCTTTTTCTTTGACGTCCCCTGTTTCGTTTTCCCTCATACTTATGGTGTCCAGTGAGTGATTGATGAACTCCAGCGATTATAATTTCTACGGCTGATGTGGCCCGCCCAATTTCATTTCCTTCTTTTCACGGTTTCAAGGATGTCCTGTCAATCAATACGAAATGACTTGTCTTTCAACAAAAAAAAAACTCATTCGCTGTAAATGGTTTGGTTTGTAACCATGAAGTCTACTGGATGGTTCTAGATACAATTACGGTTGGGATGAGAGTGCACTTCTGAGATGGATTTTCAGGTGTTTCAACATCACTGGCTTCCTTTATAATATTATTCATCCATTCCCTCCATCCTAGTTCAAACAAAAATATCCCCCCCCCCAAAAAAAAAAAAAAACAACAACACAAAACAAAACAAAACAAAACAAAACAAAACAAAACAAAACAAAACAAAACAACAAAAAAACCTCAGGATGTCACGCCCTGGCTCTCAGCAGACGAAATGTAAAGGGCCACTCCACCCGGTCATTTTACCTTTATGGGAGGTCACTGGCTTCATTAACGTCGTTTACTTTAGCCTTATTTCTTACTTCATTGTGTCAGACTTTAGCAGACAATGCCAAAAGGTATTGTCTAGTAGAAAGATTATTTCTATTAACGAACACCAACTCTAGACTTATAGGTCTCCCGAGACAATTTATCTGTCGCCCCTGAATGAAATACTAAACAGAAGAGTGTGTTAATCCTCAATTCTTAAAAAGTGTCCTCCTTCATTATCACAAAAGTCATGATGTGTAACATGTCCTTTATACAGTCATGAGCAGCGGCATATTAAACAAATAAATCTGTCTCCGGTTAACAATCGTTTAGCCATATCTTACTTTATTGTGTCAGATTTTAGTAGACAACTCCAAAAGGTATTGTCTAGTAGAAAGATTATTTCTCTTAACGAACACCACCTCTTACTCTCCCTAGACAATCCAGTCGTCACCCCTGAACACTGGCGTACTGGTGGGGGGGGGGGGGGGGCTTGGGGGCACTAGCCCCCCCCCAAAGAAACCTCGACTTATTTTCAATTCCATTAATGTTCGTGATATCACATGATTTTCAACAACATTTCTGTTGCAAAGTGCACATTCCCAAATAGCCAGGAAGAGCATATGTTTTTTATAGTCACTAATTGGGCTTTCGTGACAACTTACAGTAACACTAGTAGAAAATTCCTTTCCAGAAGCTACTGCGATAAGCACTGCCAGGAGAAAACAAGCTACCCAGGCGCGGATCCACGCCCTCCCCCCCCCCCCCGACTTTTTAAAATATTTGTTTAAATAATAATCTAAATATATATATATATATATATATATATATATATATATATATATAATTTTTTCTAGTAAGTGATCACACATCCCGCCCCGCCCCATTGAGCGAAAATAACAGTCTGCGCAATTTTCAAATTTCCGGGGGCAAAAACGAAACAGAATTATGCTCACTACTAGGAATAAGAGTCGATCGAGAACGGTACAACGAATCGTCTACTTTCTCAAATAATTCAATGAAACGTGAAAGCATCCGCGCTACGCGCGGAATGGGCGAAAATGATTTCAGACAAGGATTAAGAGTAATAATTAAATTAAACGTCAAAGCCTCCGCGCGAAGCGCGGAAGAGGGGGGAGGGGAACTGAATTCAGGCAAGGACACGATACAACAAATCGTCTTCTTTCTCTAATAATTCAATGAAACGTGAAAGCTTCCGCGCTACGCGCGGGAGGGGCGAAATGATTTCAGACAAGGATTAAGAGTAATAATTGAACTAAACGTCAAAGCTTCCGCGCTTCGCGCGAGAGGGGACTGAATTTAGACAAGGACACGATACAACGAATCGTCTTCTTTCTCTAATAATCTAATGAAGTGTCAAAGCTTCCGCGCTTCGCGCGGGAGGGGGAAAACTCAAAATTACTTACTTCCTGCTGGCCCCGGGTTTATAGGGTTTAATTTGTAGACATTGGGACATTGGCATTAATAGGTTTGTCGGTAATCGGTGGTCTCTACACTCTCCCCCCCCCCCCACCTCCCCCACTGAAAAAGATCTAGCGACGCCCCTGATAACAACACAGTTTCTACACTCGAGATAATTCTTAATAATATTATTATAATAATATTATAATAATATTATAATAATAATCATATTTTTGCTTATATAGCTATGGAATTATTAGTGTGTGGATGAATATTGTAAAGGCGTGTTCACTTATCACACAACATAACTCACTTTTTAATTTAACTACGAGGAAACAATGTTGCACTGGCAATAAAATACCTGATAAAAAGTACTCCCTGGGTACTGATTTGCAGACACAACACTTGCAAAGTGTAGTCATGCAAGCAAATAAATGATTCAGAATAACAATCACATTAATGAGGATCGTGGATATTGCACGGAGTTTAAATGGTCATGTATAAGATGGACATGAATAAATGAATAGAGCTTACGACAATTAAAAAATGACGTCGAAAGTCCATGAAGATGATGAGAGATGAAACGAAGAAAGGGGCTCACGCGATGATTGTGCGGAGGCTTGATGATGGAGACGCGACTTCGTTAACGTGGCTGAAGAGCCGAGAAGAACGCGATGTCGATGCCGACGCTCATGATGATGATGATGATGAATGTAGAGCTCGGGCGAGAAGAGAAGAGAAGAAATGTGGCGCTCGACGACAAGGCAGTGAGTCGCTCGATGTCGGAGGCCCAGGTTGAAATGTAGACATCAAAGCCGGTATAGTGGTGATCGTGAAGAGCAGTGGGTCGCTTGATGGATCGATGAGCCGGACTTTGAAGTGAAATCATCAGAGTTGCAGTGAGATGGACTCGTTGATGAAAGTTCAGGCGAGCTACAGTGAATCGAGCTCGTGTGTGAAAAGAGCTACCGGAACGAAGAAAATGACAGCTCCCAGCGGAGAATCAGGTGCCATGTCGGGTCCTGATTTAAGCGTTCCACTGCAAGACTGCCCGTCCTTTGAAGACGGCAGAGAAAGAGTTGATGTGCCATACAAGAGGTGATAGGCACGGAAGAGAATTCTCCAAATGAAATGCAGAAGGTTAGAATTGTAGAAGGATTTGCTCCTTGTGTATGCATGGAGCAAATTGTGGTAAAGGTGACATTCTCATATTGACGTGTTGCTTCGACGAAAAACTATGAGAAGTGTAGTAGTGAAGAAAGTTAGAGAGAAGATGTTGTTTTCATCCTTCTTGGGAGGCAGGATAAAACAAATAGAGTTCTATACCAAATTCTGGGAAGGGAGAATGAGTCACTGGTGATTACCAGGTACAGGGACATTGAAGCCATTATGCTGACACTTGTTGACATATATAGGGGTGGCAGTGCCTGGCATAAGTCAGAGGTAGTCTAATGGCTTCTATTGGTAAATCAATAATGATAAATCAAAATCGATTTTAGCAACTGTCCACCAAAAAAGTATATTCTAATCTAATCCAATGTCCTCCCAAATTGGGTTTACAAAGTAACAAATGAAATTTGGAAATGAAGAAAGATGAAATGAGGAAAATACTACATAGCGCTTAATACGTCGGGAATATCCGAGTTTCTAAGCGCTTTACATTATTACCCCCGGTCATCGGATTTTGGCTTGCCCGCACACAATGTATGCACTTTCTCCACTCCCTGGGGAGCATTCCAACAAGAGCTACTAGGCTCAAATTGCTAAGCATACCAAATTGGCGTTCGCATCCTACCGGGTACCCATTTAACACCTGGGTGGAGAGTGGCAAATGTAGATCAATATCTTGCCAAAGGACGTAGTGCCGCGGCGGGACTCGAACCGCGGACCTTGTGATCGTCAGTCCGGTGACGTATCCACTCGACCACAACACCTCTAATTCTTGCAGGTACTACTGGTGAAGTACCGGACCACCGTCTTTTTGTGCAGCAACGAAGCAGTTTTCTCTAACTTCTAACCAATCAGAAGGCCTCGTTTGTTTCCGAGAGTGCCGGTGGACATGATGCGCCAAATGTTCCCTCAAATGTGGTTCTCAAATTGCAAAAGATCCCTACTCTTGGAGGGGGTAGGAGAAAGCAGTTTTACGTCATATTACTCCAGGTAGTGCCTCAAAATGCGTGTAAGGTGGTTCTAAAATTGCAAATACTCTGGGAGGGGGTAAGGACCCACCCACTTGGTCGCTCCGCTCTGTCGCTCCGCTCTGTCGCTTTATCGTTTTATATATATTTCACCCCATGCCATTTTGTGCCCCCCCCCCGGTAAGAAATTCCTGGATCCGCCACTGATGCCCATACCTTGAGCTTCGGGGGTTCCGCCTTTTGACCCCCTTCGGGGCTTTGGCCCTAGACCACACTTTGAAAAACGTTCAGCGGAGCCTGCATAAGATATAAGAGTGGGGTGGTGCGGATTTTTGTGTGTCAGCCCCCCCCCCCCAAAAAAAAAAAAAAAAACGTTTTTGCTCATTACGCCACTGTCCCTGAATCAAATCCTAAACGGAAGAGTGTGTTAATCCTCAATTCTTAAAAAAGTGTCTTCCTTCAGTATCACATGATGTGTAGCATGTCCTTACAGTCAAGAACTGTGGTAAATTGAACGAATAGATCAAAACATATCATGCTCCAGTGGCGTACGCAGGAGTTTTTCAAGGGGGGGGGGGGTTAAAATCGGACCCAGAAATTCGCAACGACTCAGCCAGCCGTTGAATAAGCGGGGGGGGGGGGGGGGGGGGGGTAAGAGGACGCTTTTTTTTTCGGAGCCCCCAAAAAATCGCAACGACTCAGCCATCCGCCGAATGAGCGGGGGGGGGGGGGGGGGGTAAGGTCACCTTTTTTAGGTCAGCCTTTGGTATAAAAAAAAAAAATCAAAGCGAAAAGTTGTGTGGGAGCGTCAGTTCCAGTAAGTAAAACCTTGAAACAATGCCGCTGTTCCACGGTACATAGTGTATTACATTGAATTTTTTAGTATAACGTACTGCCCGACTCCTATTGCTATCATAAAATCCTCTATTGATAAATATAAGGGCATGCGGAATGTTTAAGACATTTATTTCTTTTATTGGAATATATTTTTTATGTGATTCAATTCAGGGTGTTTTTTTCCTTTCTTTTCGGTTAAAAAATACAAATAATTTGTATTCTTTTACTGTTAATTTTTTTTTTTTTTTTTTTTTTTTTTTGGGGGGGGGGGGGGGGGGCGAAAACGCGTTCCCCCCCACGTTTTTCGTTTGGGGGCGATCGCCATCCTGCCCCCCCCCCCCACTTCCGGCTCCCCTGGGTACAAATGACCGATTGTCTACCCTTTCCAGGTCATTAGCCCTAGCTCTAGCTAATAAGCTTGCCGCCCATTCCCACTTTCAAAAAGAGTTTACACTCTTACAACATTCCGCTTACACCTTCCCCCGGAAAACAACCGACATAAAAATGTAATAAGTCAGCCTTTTGTGTTGAGCATCTTTTTGCAAATAAGTCTGGTAAATTACAAATACAAACAAATAAAATACAACAAAACAAAGAAGCAAAATTACCGAGTCTGAAAGGAGGCTTTGGCCTACATTTACTTGAAACACAAGACTACAAGTTAATGAAATTATTATTATTTTACATTTAAGCTTCTGTACTCGCGCGCACTCCCATTAATTTTGTCTACTAATGGTCTGAGAAGTAAACTAGGACCGGTAATTACTACGGATACCTACACCGTAAATGCGAACCGGATATTTGTATAGTTAAGTTTCAAGGAGCTCATTATTTCGTCAACAATAGACCCTAGAGTTCTACATCCAACTCACTGAAAAGAAATAACAAAACATTTTTCTTGTATGACCTATGAAAAAGCATAGGGCCGTCGTCTGAAGAACGATATAATCAAGATCAAACTGAGTAAGGAGGAAGTCATGGATCCTCTACTTCTTGGCATTATCGCACTTGTCATAGCTTTGATATTGACCATCGCGTTGCTGGTTGTGCACACAGGCATCTTCCGGCAGGTTGATGTAAACACTGGCCGACCTCCCATTGCCAATGTACGTGTAGCATACAAGTTTGCGAGGGGACCATACAGCGAATGTGGACCAATGTTCTCAGAGGTTGCCAGTCTAGCTCCAGATCTGCGCTGCATTGGTGTGTACTTTGATGATCCACAGAAGGTATATAAAGAGTCAGACTCACTCGATCTTCTTTACGCTGATGTACAGTACTTTCGTATCAAGACTTTGAACCGTAACGCCGGCGTGGAACTAACTTAGAATAGAATTAATCTAGTCTAGAGTCTAGCTAGAACTAGAGTCTACTAAAAGTAAAATATACCAAAAAACAACTAGGCCTAGAAACGTCTAAATCTTCATCAATTGTTCAAATCAGGGGCGGCGATTTCTTTTCATGACCGGGTGGGACGAAATGTGAGGGGCGAGGGTGCAGTGGCGTAATGAGCAAAAACGTTGGGGGGGGGGGTAGATAAAACCGCATTACCACCACTCTCACATGTTACGCAGGCCCTGGCAACGTTTTTTTCAAAGTAGGGAGGGGGGCTAAGTATTTACGATCAGGTAGAGCAAAGCGAGCGAAGCAATGGAGCGTAAATTGGCGTGGGGTCCAGGGACAAAGCCCTGGCGGGGGTCAAGGGGCGGATGAGCATCCATGGGGCAGGGGTTTTAGGCATGTAATTACGATCAGATGAGCATCCAAGGACCGCCTCAGGGCATTTAATTGGTGGGGTCCAGGAGGCAGAGCCCCCGGAAGCTCAGGGAAAAATGCCATTTCAGCAACATTTGTAAATCACTGGTATTGAACTAGAAATAAACCACGTTTGAATTTAATTTTTTGAGGGAGAACTTCCCCAAGCTCCCCCCCCCCCCCCATCACCATCAATACGCAAGTGCGAGGGAGCATAGTGAATGAGAGGGGTGAAGGTGATGGAAGTTACTATCCTCTCACAGGTTTTGAAGTTTTGGTTGTATCAAAAAACTACATTCCATAGCAAAACTATAGTATAAAAACAAGCAATATACTTTTTCCACACTTCACTTTTCTCGGTATTTACTTATACATTTTGAAGGATATTATGCGAGGGAGCGTAGCTGCTGAGTGAGAAAATTTTTGCATTTTTATTTGTCTAAACGCTACACTCTTGGGCCCTCCAGAGCCTAAAAGTGTGTTGCAATCTTTAGTCAGTATTTGCTATACATTTTTGGGGGCACTTTTTTCAAATTTTGAGGGGGGGACGATCCCTCCCTAAAAAAATTGAGGGGGGGACGTGTCCCCCCCATCCCCCGTGGGATCGCCGCCCCTGGTTCAAATAATTGTTATAATTTATAAGTTGTAATGTTTCTTTCCTGTTTCATGTCAATTTTCTTATCTCTTTTGGAGTATCTTCCCGAAAACAAAGATACTCGTTCACTTTTTGCGGACATCTCGAGTGCGTTCCAACACGATCGCACCTCATTGTCTAGTATGAATGTTAATTGAAATCTGAGACTTATCCTGTGTATCCAAAATTTCCTCAATCAGTTCAAGAATCCAGTCAGTCAAGGCAGGGAATCATCGGTCAAATGAAATAATGATCGATATAGGTGCTCCCCAAGGTCCAGTCCAATAAAATAAACTTTAATCTTGAATATTATAATACGGTAGACCTATACACTTTCTCACAGGTTTCACGGCAAACCGCTGCACAATTGCATATCGTACCGACGAAGGTGTGCAGGCATGCGGGCGTGTGATGTTAGTGACTGTAATCTAAGATCCTCATTAAATTCATGTAATTCACATTAGGAAGATGAGGATCTGAATTTACAGTCGCTAACTTACACCTGTACAATTGAATGATGGATCCAAATTTGACTTTTCTAAGACGGTGCGAAAAACTGATTGGTGGTTTCATACTTTCAGCCAGGCATGCATGCAAAGCTTCAGAGGCGACAGTTTAATTGTAGAGCTAATTGTTCCTCCCCCCCCCCTTGTTTTTACTTACACTTTATTAATCATCACAGAATTTGACAAGCACTGGGTATGGTAATATGCCAGTACTTAGTAGAGTACTAAAATATAATGGTTTCTAAGACATTGGTACAGTCTCCATTTATTCATGATAAACCGTGAATGTCTAATGCTATATTACATGTAAATGAGTACATTCTAATTACATCATGTAGTTTTAATTTTGATTGTAAAGTTTGTAAAATCCTCCTTTCGGAAAACTTGAAATGTTCAAAGTTGATATAATCAAGCTTAATATTATATACACATGGTTTTCCTCTCCAAACTTTCCACAGGTGGAATCCTACAACCAGCGTTATATAGTCGGCACCATTCTCAGCGAGGGGACCAGTGAAGTAGACAAAGAAGTAGAAGCTCGACTTGTAGAGCACGAGTTCAAGCTAACTAACTTCCCAGCTGTAGACCATGCAGTCATTTGCTCGTTTCCATTTATTTGGACCCTGTCTAGTTATATTGCAACTGCCAAAGTATGGCCCCAATTAGGAGAATACATAGAGGTAATCACTGTTTCAATTTATAGACATTCATTGTGTAAATGAGATGGGGGAAAGAATTTAATTCTTTAAATCGTAAACTTAGGTATGAAATCAAAATTAAAAATTACTATAGTGTACTAAGTGCAGCCAACTTTAAAAATAAATTAATATCTTTCTTTTTGTTACATTCCTTTTGACAATCAACTCATACAATTGTTAATTTTTTAGTAGAAAATATTTCTGCTTAGCAAATTATTTTACATCATGTTGATATTAAAAATGCTAATTAATGTCACATTTACAGAAGAGTTCTACAAACCTATACATATCTACACGTATACATGCAAACCGGCACTCGCATCATCTTGAAACACTTTTTGATATAAGGAACTTATGGAACAATTTAAGAGATTTTTTATCAGAGGAGACCCCTGTCACTAAACATTATGTTTTTTTGTTCTCTCCCCTTTATTTCATCTAGGAACGTAAGCTATGTGCTCATCCAGCTATCGAAGTCTACACGGGAGATGAGATCCAATACATGCTACCTTTGTCCAAGCAAGAGGATTTTTACGTAGAAGAAGCGAAAAAGGCCAAGGAGGAGATTGCTAAGAGCTTGCAAGAAAGTGATGGAAAAGAAAATGAATCTGCCCTACCGGATGATAGTACCATGACATCATCAGATGGAAGTGATGCAAGCAGTGGAAGCGAAAGTTCCTTTGAAGAATTATCCCTAAAAGAAGGTGAAATGGAAGAAGAACCAAACGCTTCTGCAAACGAAATTTAATTTTGCTGATACATACAGTATATTGATATAAAACTGGTACAAAACTGATGATAAATGTCACTGTTGATTTTATGAAGTTATTGAAGTGTAATAATTCATTAAAAGATACTTAATTTACAACTTACACTTTGTTTCAAGTGGCGTTTTGTAAAGTATCACTGTCATTATAGAAGGTGAAGATTTGTAACACTCGAAGGATGTGCTCGTAGACGGCATTTATAGAAATATTTGTAATATACATGTAAGCCATGGTGCAGTGAGCAGTACATGTAAACCAGTTGGTGATTATTGTAAAGTTGCTATAATGTAGTTAAATGTGTATTTTCTTATAAACATATATACATGTTTATTGTTTATGCAAATGAAATTAAAATTGATATCATGAGAGATTGGCATCTGACATTTTTTAGAGATTAATTTCATCACAGCAGCATCTCTCCTGCAATTTACAATGGATGTTATTTTGTGAATAATGTGATTGTAATACCGTATGTTTGTCATACATGTACAGTATATTGGTTTGGCAAGTGCATTGTATTGTTATCCAGTATCAAAACAAAAAACCTGACCTACCCGGTCAAGTATATTGTATGCAATTATATGATATTAACATGGGATGAATATGGATTCAACCATAAATTTGTGATATTGGTTTGAGCATTTGAAAAGATATGAAGCAGCTTAAGTGTTTATAGAATTTCTGCTATCAACATTAAAAATTTGTAATTATGATACATTTTGTCCAGGGATTTGTATCGTATGTATTGTATCACATTTGCTTGAGTTGCTTGAAATGTGAATTTGTGTCTGATCTAGTTAACTGACATGTCTAATCTTTCAAATATTGATTTGACTTTGACACTCTTACATTCAATGTTTTGTAACCTGTTTGGTTTAAGTTTCTGCTCAATACATGATCTAGTTGGTTTTGAAATCTACCTCTACATATATATATTTTTTTTCTTCATGGGGGGGGGGGGGGGCATCTTTTGAGTTTTTGATAAGACATGATAACTTGTGTAACATTATAACTTTGTCTTCAAGTACCTTAACAGTACATGTATAATTTCAGAAGCCTTTAACTTGGTTGGAATTGCTTTAGTTTTTAAGCGCAAATTCAGAGATACAAGTCGGTCACTATTTGTGAAAATTAAAAAATGTTGTAATTAAACAAGATGTCAAAGAAGCAAACCAGTGATGTAGGTGTTTCTCATACATGTGTTAAGCATGTATTTTAGGTCTATATTTTAGGTACATATGGTGAGCATAAATTTTAATTTGAAGTTTCAGAAGGCTGAACTGTTTTTAATAGAGCATGCAAACTTCTTTGATGACACTTTCTTTCCAAATGAGAAATATTAGAAAAATAAATCATTGTAATTTCTATGTTTGCAGATTGAATGATTTGAGGTCTTCTGTATTATTTGTGCTAAAATGCAAAATTCATTATATTTGATTAAAACTATGGCATATACCTTATTTTTTAAGTATCTTTAGTTTCTACATGCAGTTGTGCCATTTTCTACTGGAAGTATGCCACACGTTTTTGGTTATCAAATGATATCAACCTTGCCCACAAGCACCAAAGTTAAAGTAGCATGATTCCCTCTTCCAATTGATATTTTACAGGTAGATTAAATGTGCTTCCAAATTCTTGCTTTAGCAAAATGTCCTGACTTCCTGTGTATTTCTAAAAGAATTTTTCACCATAAAAGCTGTCATCTAAATCGACAGTGATAGGTGGGACAAGTCTTTGAATAGTGTGTATTTGGTGTCAGTTAACTGCTATATTATTATTTCTTTCTTATTTTTTTCTAATTTTTTGGGTCATATGTAGTGCAAGTCAATATTGTTGAATGTTAAGCTTGAAATGTAATGAATTTACACTTGGGCATTGTTTTATTAAAGCCACTGGCTAAGGGAATACAAGGTGCGAAGATGAGGATAGTGCAATGATTACAGCAGTGGTCAAGTTTCCAGAGAGGGTTCAAGTCCAAATCATAGCATTTGTGCTACTGGATGAGGCATTACTCTTCAATTATATACATTGCTGTCCCTCAGATAGGACCTAAAACTGAAGGTCCCACTTTTTCTTTTATGTACATGTGAGCAATTATAAAGCATACATTAAATTAGCATCATATGTAAAATCAGCAAGAAGCCTTATCTTGCAAGGTATGCATTTTCATATTCTGATGTGAATGCATTTATTATTCATATATTACTGTGGTTGTATGATGTATGCTCCTGTGTCAACTTCAACCCTGGACCTGACAATATATGTACCTCCCCCTAACCTTTAGTTGAACCTAGCCTTAAACCAAATTGTAATCCTTAGCCTAACCTTATACATGTCCTTCTGACCAAATGAAGTCCAGAGAAATTGTCGCCGGAGCAAGTGTCAGATCACTGCTATTGAACATATAGTATATGTATAGTATCAGTTTTTTTATATAATTCCAAGGCCTTTAAGTACAATATCAGCACACTGCATAGTGAATTTTGAAAGAGCAGCTAAGATGAGGTCAAATAGTTAGATGACATACTACTCCCCATTTATTTTGGGTTCTTTTATAGTGTCAATTTAAAAAAAAAATGCTAATGTCTATAAGTACGATCTCAGCACACTGCATAATGGAGTAAGAAAGAGCAGCTAAGATGAGGTCAAATAGTTAGATGACATACTATTCCATTTATTTTGCCTTCTTTCATTTTCAGATAATATATTGAGTATAAATCTACTAATGAAATAATACAGTACTTTGATTTTTGTAAAGATTTATAAACCGCGGTACAATTAAATTGATACATTTCTATACATGATTAACAGTACGTTCATACATGGGGTATGCAATTCTGTTACAGTAAAAAGAAAAAGTGTTTGATAGTGTTGAGTGGCTGCTTTGATTTAATGAGTTTTAATATCTATATCTTGCAGTTATTTTAATTTTTCTGAAATTCAAATATTTAATTGTGTATTAAAGAGAGGAACAGGCATTCTATTGGTTGTTTACCCCATGTAAATCTGAAAACTGTAAATATCTAATTTGTGTCTGGAAGTGAACGAGAAGGGTGCAATAAAATGCATGCAGAATTGCAAATACATGTGTGATACCATGAAAAGTCACCTCTGAGATCAGTGCATGGAAAAGAAAAATGTCCTTCATCTCCAAATTTCAAAACTGTTGTAAATTGTGAGATTCTGATTACAGGTAGTAACAAAATAACATGATAAAGGCCAGTTAAAGGTATACAGATTTCTTCAAAGATTTGAGTACACATGATGACAGTAATGAGCCCTATTAGATCACATGAAATGTCAAGAAAATTGATAATTTCAGAGTTCACTACTTATCTCATCCTTTGCATGACAAAAAAGAAATGAATCCTTGGACTTTATATATTTTATACTTTACCTTAAATATTCATCATTGTGTTCTGTTTTCACTATCAGACATATTGATGAGGAAACAAAAATTGATTAAAGTAAAAGATTGTATTTACATGTATGCTATTCCATATCAAGCCCCAAAAATGTCATCTTATAAATAGACAAATTTTGAGTAGCAAATTAGTGTTTGCTTACTCTGCACTATTAATGAATACTTAAGTGTACCTGTGTACCAACAATTTTCTTCCCATTCGACCAACGTAATGGGAAATCAAATTTTAAGCAAGTGGCATTATTTAAGGACCAAATACGACAACGTCCGAAAAGTTTTAGTTGCCTTTACTTATGACGTACAATTCAGGTTAAATTGATATTCGTACATTCATTTATGTACCCCCAATACATTAACATGTTACTCCTGTTTTTTGTGATGTAGATTTGGTGGAGGTAAGTTGGTAGTTACAATTAAAGAGTCTATATGTGAAGGCAAAACTGTATATGAAAGAAAAAAAAAACTGTTTCATTTATTATCCCCTCATAATAGTATAGTCTAATGGAGGTAACTTGTTCTGACGTATATAGGCCATTTGTACCCGGCGAGGGGATGCTATGCTTTGCATTGACTTGTGTTGATGTTAGCCTTGATATGATATTTTGAAGTTCAGAAGTGAAATAAAAATGAAAATAAAGATTATCCTTGGCTCCTTGTCTAGTTTTACTTCAGTTTTTACATAAAGTCTCCCTGCTACTTCACTTTTGAACATACAGCATACTTCAGTAAGTAAATACATACACTCAAATTTGGTCAAATAATTCTGCATTTAGTTTTAATCAAGGTACTGACTGTTGCTTAAATGGTTTTACTTGATGAGACTACCGGTACATTCAGTAATCTTAAATCACCAACAGATATATACATGTATAATCCCAAATACTTGATAAGCTTTGTCTTTACAAATGATTCAACCACAAAAAACAGACGTTCCATTAAATTGACATTTCAAAACTGTTCCTATTTCTGTCATACAATGACATACATACAATAGAAGCGTTTGATATCTCAAAATACATATTTTTCCAGAAATGTCTATGTTCCAAGTTCCCAAACTTACTTAGTGATTATATACGACATGTTGGTTGTATTTTGTCAATTGTATGTTTATCCGGGGTTATTTTTGGTAAATGTATGATTATGTGTTTTATTTTTTCACCTTGTACTATCCTGTGTATTCAGACAGTAGCCTAGGCTTGAATGTTCATTTTTGCATGCTTTCTCTTGTAATAATCAACAAATTCACTATGTGACAAATAAAACAAAAAATTATAATACCGGTACTTGGTAAAGTTTGGGACACAACAACTTGGGCTTGCCCATACAAGGACTACACAAACACTCCTTCATAAGCAGAAGTAAACTAATTCACATACATGTATACAGTTAACAACTGAACCACTCACACCCCTTGTAAACTTGATGTTGTTTGTGTTTTTCGTAACTCAAGAATGAAAGGTGGATTGGTTGAATTAGGGCTTTTGTTGAATACTTTTAGATGTAAGCTTTAATATGTCACATTCTCAAAAAACATAAACTGGGCCAAATCATTTTTGTGCATACTTAAAAAAATACAAAACTTGGTAAGGGTATCAATTGTAAATGCACATGATCCAAATTGTAGCTATCTTTAAAAGAATGCAAAAAAATAAATAAAATATACACTAGACATTAGAGAACACATGAATTAACATTTCATGTTAATTTCATGGCTTGAAACTGCGTGTAACATCAAATGAAATATTGCTCTAAAAGAAATGAAATTTTATCTCGAACACAAGAGTTATCATTTATGGTTTTTCAATTCCTCTGTATTATCAATAGAACTTATCTACATGCTGCTTATAAGTATCGGCTTGCATGGAACTCATCTAGTAATATTTTGCAGTCAGAAACGGCAACATATTTTGTGAAAAATACTTATGTTACAGACCTGGTGCCAGCTTATGCACAATGAACAAAAAAACTAGATACAAAGATGGAGATCTTGATTGAGTGCTGTGGACATTGCATTTATAACTTCATCATGAGCAAAAAAGAGCACCATGGCGTATCAAAGCTAAACGATGCCGTATAATTGGATCCCAGTATAATACAAGTACATATTATTAAAATACACTTGGCTTGAAGCAAAAACGTGAACAACACAGAATGATCCATTAATTAAATTACCTAATGAACCTTCATACCGGTAGTTTATCTATTTATGTTAACACCATGATCATTACTAAAAAAAAAGGACATCTGTTATTAGGCATTTGATGTTATGTCTTTTTTTTTTAAGTTGAGATGTCATGTTCTTTCTTGATTTCATCAAATAAATATATTAGTTTGTACTACCCTTGCTATGATTGTTATAATGGCTATCTGTTCTGCAATTTTATCCTCCCCCCCCCCCCCCCTACTCTAAAAAAAAAAATTAAACAAATTATACAACTAAGACAATTGAAACAAGTATGCTCATGATTAAGAAAGCATTCTGTAGATGGAACACAGGCTTTAAGTTGATATAATTGAATGCATGGCACTCATTTACTTTTTTGGAGTTAAGCTAGCAATAGATAAGTAAAGCATCAATAACACAGTTATTTTTTCAGCTGACTGACAAAAATCAAAACTATTTAGTATTTACACAGCATTGATGACAATTTTTTTTTAAAAGGGCATGACAATCATGATGTTCTGTGCATCAGTGTTCTCTCATGAGAAGTACTGGCCGTGATAGCGAGGTGCTTCAGTCATTGGAGGTCCCATAGGAGGGGGCGGAGGTCCCATCTCAGGCCTAGCACCTGGTGGAGCCTGTGGAGGTGGCATGGAGGGTACCTGGTTAACCATGGTTGGAACTTGAGATGGGGGTGGTGGGGGTGGCATGTTAGTTTGTGGAGGAGGGGGCATACTGGAAGTAGGAGGAGGACCAACTGGCCATCTTGGTACACCAGGGGCTGGGAATGGTGCATTCCCCCCAGGGAGGGGTGTGGATTGGAAAGAAGGTCGTTGGGCATTGTCATAGTGGGGCTGGTTCATTCTGGGCGGTGGGACACCTCCCTGACTGTAGACTGGGGCTTGTTGTGGATGCATGATGTGCATCACTTGGTGTACACTGATCGGTGGCCCTGTGTATGAACCAGAGACTGGGGGTGGGTGAGAGATAGGTACATGGGAACCAGTCGATGGAGGAAGATGTTGAGGGTAGGCCACATGTTGTGGTGGAGGGGGCGGAGGTGGGCCTTGATGCTGTTGCTGGACAGGGACTATTGGAGCTTGTGATGGGTAGGACACAACTGCACCATGGACCTGAGACGACTGCTGGTAGTCTTTGCTACTGTCATGCAGAGGGACAGTGATGAGATTTGACTTCCTGACTGGCACATTGACATGGTAATCCTCAGGTCCACTTTGGCTGCTCGCCCCCTCCGATGAGCGTGGCTCATACTGCATCTGCTCTGGCATGATATGAGAAGTCTGTGCTGGAGTGGGGCCAGGGTATCCATCCTGGTGAGATGAAACATACGACTGGTGACTACGCGGGTCACTCCTGGAATCGGATCTTGGATCGGTCATTCTGGACATTGTACTATGGCCTTGGTCCTTAGGTCCACTTGAAGTGGTTGATGATACTACCTGACTAGGAGGTTTTGGAGTATGACGATGGTTGATGTGGGCCAAGAGATCCCTGTGTGAGAGATAAGTTCTGCGACATCCTGTATGGCAATGCTTTGGGGCTCCATAGGCGCAGAGAAATATGCTACCAAGAGGAGACTGCTCTATTCGCTGTACAGGGTCTTCACATCTGTTTTTTTATAAATAAAAAAATATATATAAATATATATATATATATACAAATTCTGTGATAGCACCACTTACAAGTATCCATATAGAATAAACAAACAATATGAACAAGGAGCTTACAGAGTTTCTTGACCCCAAACATTTTTGGCATGAAGTTTATGCTAAATTCTAAACTTAAAGATGAAGTTGAGTTCTCGTCATGCGATTGTATTGTGAAAGAAACGGTGTGGAATCGATCAGAAAAGGTTGATCATCTAGCATATAAGAATTTGTGTGTATTGCAAGGTTCTGGAATCATCAAAATGATAAGAAATTTGGCCAAGTCTTAGTAAAGTTACAAACACTGTACACAGAAAAATGTATATGGGACTACACGAACATGTGGCGTAAAAATCTGACCCTGGATTTTTACGATGTTACATGACATATTTACAATATGAAGGCATTAGAAGAGCCATGCTTTTCAGGGAACATGTCTTATCCAATGTTCTTCCACACTTGCATAATAAGAATGATAACGCTCACAAATTATTTTTCACCTCTTCCCAGAACTCAACCTTCTCTTTAATAACTGACAATCCAACAGGTCTAAATTCATGAATTTCTAGCATATATGCATAATTAATGTTTTGGCGATAACAGACATTATACTTTATAGTTTGACAACACAGGTGAGATATGACTTAATTTATAGCATTCAGAAGCACATGATAAACTAAATTCAGAGAGAACTCACCGTAAACAACTCTTGTCCGTGGCCTTGGCACAGTCAAAGCAAAACACATGTTTGCATGGAATCTATAGGAAGCAAGGCAGGGAAACTGTTAGATGAAGAACTATCTGACGATCAAAATTTGGCTAAAAATAGCTGAAAGTAACTCTGAAATATTGATGAAATATGTATTTTTTGTTACTGCATCCAAAAACATTGACAATTTGTGTAATCCAGACCCAGTCAAAGTTCATTTTCAATTAATTTATGAAAAATTGCCTTGCATTCTAAACAGCATCAAAACTGAGGTAAAATTAGAAGATCTGCATGCAAATATACATGTATGATGTTGGGAAATATGATTCTATTGTAACTCATTCTGATGATCATTGACATGATCATAAAATAAAAAAATTATTTGTCATGATTTAATTGCAGAATGAGATCAAAAGATAACTAAACACACAAAAATTCATGTATACAATAGCATATACATTATTATGCCATAGCCCAGTACTACTTAAAGGGATAGTTGAGTTCTGTTGCAGAGGGCACTACACAAAATAATTTTTTTGTGAGATAATGAAAAACTGAGTGTCAAATTTGAAAGAACATAATATTTAAATGACAAAATCATCTGTTTGATTAAAATCGGTTCTGAGACGGCTGAAATATAACAATTTCTAATACTTGTGTACCACCACAAATATTAGATATTTTGAAAAATTTGGAAAAAAACCATTGAAAAAACGTAATAATGCCGTTTACGTCGTATTTCAGCCAATGCTGATGTTGGCTTTTTTTCTTGGCATTTTTGTGCTGCTTATATTACGCACAACTAGCCGGCCCATGTATTGCTATTTTTAATTAAATAATTAATTAACGGTCACCATGTTTTTTTTTAAGTGGAGCTGAATGGGTATGATCGTATTGGCTAAATTTCACACATTTTGGGGTCCAAAATTACGTTCATAGCAATTTTAGTTTCTAAAAGGGCACTAGAAATGTCATAGATAAGAATAAGAGCAATTACCACGCACTTTGAAGGCATTTGCGGTTTGAAAACAGAACTCAACTATCCCTTTAACAAAGTGTTGATTATTGAGAAGAATCCATATATATGGCTTTATCATCCTTTATGAAAAGTTACAGATCTCTGATTTGCACAATACAATGTACAAAGTAGGCATCCTGGTATCCTTTTCTAATGTAATACAACATGTAGATTAGACTGCACTGCTCTTCTTCAGCACTTACCATTCTGCCATATGCCATGATAGGAAAGCTGCATTTCTCACAGTTGTGAAGTTTGGGATCTTGATCCTTTCTGCCGACCAGATTCATCTGAAGATTGGTCGATAAGAAATAGAAATGGAATGAATGAAAGAAATATTACATACCCGGTAGTGACTTGCAGTCTGTTGCAGACACAAACAGATGTTAGATTTTACACAGAAGCGGAGTACTGGTACTCTATGAATACATGTAGCCAGTTATTTTGAGTCCACGAAAGAAACTATAGTGAATCTGGCACAAAAAGGAAATTTGTTATGTTCCTTGTTGTAATGTTACCTACAACCTCTTTACCATCTGCCGCTATCACTGCTACATCTGTAATTTTCTTTAAAGCCAGTCCTAACAAATTTAATGTGATGAACAATTATTCTCACCCTTGGGAAGATGAAATCAACATGGTGTTGATGCAATATGACCATAACAATCTGACATTTTCACACTGCAAAGTCATCAATTTAAAAATATTTGAGAAGAAAGATGAAAATTGGATGACAGATTGACATGGAAACTTGGCTGAAGACCTCTGCATATTTTTAGTGCATCCAGAAGAAAAGGGTAGTAAGTAATATTGTACATACCTTGTAGTCCCACTTTAGTGGGGTGTTTCGATGCATAGCAAACCGTTGAGGATACATCTCACTATGTGAGTCCATGACTGCAAGCAGAGAGACTCCTGTTCGGCGCTTCTTGAACTTGGTTGACCTATTATGTAGCCCTCTGCAATAAATGATGCAAAAGTCTTTTTCACAGCAGTCTAGAGGTTCAAATGAATTTAATTCCACTGAATTCTTTTCAAAAATAATAAAAATGATAGAACTTCTTAGACTGGATCAAATATTCCACAGATTCAAATTTACAGACTGAAAATTGTCCTCTTGTCTATAAATATTCAACATTGAGAAGGAAAAAATATATTTAAAGACAAGACTCACAAGAGTATACACCTCCTACAAAACTACACAAACACACAGGTTATTGAAATTACTTGGACAACCGGACAAACTAGATCTAAATAAAAGAGAGAAGTTTATTAATTTTCATGAACAAAAATAGATCTAGATCCATGACCCTACCGATCAGCCGCATCGGCATGATTGTGTGCATTTGTGTGTTGTAAGTGTATTGACTATTCATGTATTCAAATGCTGCCTATTAACACATAGTGCAGTGCTAGAGGTCAATACACATTACTTAGCATTGACTCTCTATTTGCTGGAGTGTATTTTACCATGCATCCAACGGACTGGCCGAAAACTGCTTCTGGCCAAAACTCCCTCCTTTACTCTCTAAATTTCATTTTTAAAATTCCACTTGTTAAAAGACAAATGAATTGCATAACTTGCACTATTGTAACGTCTCTACCTTGCAAGTACACAAACAAATAAAGTTTAAACAGAAAATAGAGAAAAGTCAATCGAAATGATAAATTTTCAAGAAAAAAAGTATTTTACTTTTTACTTTTTTTAGAGATTAAAAAATCTAGACTAGATCTAGACTTATTGCCATATAACGCTTAGAGTAAAGGAGCCCGTTTTCGGCCACTTAAGACAAAATCCTATTTTTAGGACTCTTTACTTCCTATTTATTATCATTTCTTGTTCAAATCATGAAGCAAATATTATTATTATTTAAACAAAAAAAGAATCCCAGAAAAAAATCACGAATTGCCATGACAATATTCATTTCAATTTTCACTGTTTTGGAGCCCGTTATCGGCCGAGCGTTTCAGTTTACGGCCGCATGTACAAAGTCAATAGGAAGCGCTCGCGCGCGCCGTGCGTTTCCGCGCTGATGTACAGCACAAGCGGGCGGAGCAGGTATCCCACGCCGGAGCTCCCTGGTGCTCGCCTGGCCGAAGACGGGCACAGCGGTGATCGGAAGTTGGAATCTGAATTAGACAGAGATATCGTGTGTGCGTCGCGGTGTGCGGCTGCATTGATTTAATACATGCGATGAGATACTTTTGAGCTTGCGACCAGCACAAAATCGGGCTTTAAATCTGAAAAATACTTGAAATAAAGCTCATTTTATGGTACCCATATTTCTTACAGACACGCGTAAGATACTCGATTTTTCAGATTTGGGTAGCGGGACCGGCGATTACATCGCTAAAATGTGATATTTTAGGATATATTTTCCATTGCAAATGTGGTTCTTCAGTGACACTGGCATGGTATGGTATGTGTGGGATATGTGTTATGCTATTATGCGATGTATTAGAGTGATTTTACCTTGCATCCAACCAATCGGCCGAAAACTGGGGCTGGCCGATTACGGGCTCCTTTCGGTATAGCCACAATCAGGGTGCAAAACCATTTGCACTTGGGTCCAAAAATAAAGTATGCAATAGAGCAGTTTCATCAACGCCAAATTGTTCATCCATACCCTGGGGTTAATACCCTGCAATATCCTTGAGGAAACTATCTTGGTTATCATTTTATGAGTATCAACACCACAGGGGGTGGTAGGTGTTACGGACACTACACAAAGCTACAGAAATGGAATTTTTCAGCATTATTTACCTTAACACTCAAATATTTTGCACTTTTTGGGGGAATTTCTTGGCCATTTGTGAAAAATAAAACAATTCACACTCACTTCAGTCCATGAAATAGACGCAGTATACACATCAGAGGTAACACAAGGTCAAATCTGATAAATGATATTTTTTCAAAACCTGAAACTTTTTAAAAAGCCAACCAAACATTGATAAATGAGACAAATTACAAACTTTAGTCCCATCTGTATACATATAAAAACAAATCAAATTGCTAGGAAGGCTCGTTTCATATCATAAGTTGTCCAAACTAACTTATGTACATAATCCTACGGGATGTTACGGACACTACACAAAGCTACCAAAATGGAATTTTCAAGCATTATTTATCTTAACACTCAAATATTTTGCACTTTTTGGGGGAATTTCTCGGCAATTTGTGAAAAATAAAACAATTCACACTCACTTCAGTCCATAAATTAGATGCAGTATGCACATCAGAGGTAACACAAGGTCAAATCTGATAAATGACATTTTTTCAAAACCTGAAACTTTTTAAAAGCCAACCAAACATTGGTAAATGAGACAAATTACAAACTTTAGTCCCATCTGTATACAAATAAAAACAAATCAAATTGCTAGGAAGGCTCGTTTCATATCATAAGTTGTCCAAAATAACTTATGTACAAAATCCTATAGGATGTTACGGACACTACATTTTATACGTAATACACTATAGTGTACATGCTATTCTTTGATGCAATATATAATTAATCCATTTGCCTTTTTTCTGCAATCATATGTTGTTGCTGCATATCTTGAGGCCAACAGAGAGTATCTTTTCATATCCTCATTACCAAGTATCTTGGATAGGACTTAACCCTAATAAGGCCGGGGACCATTATGCACGCCCCCCCCCCCCTCCGCGATTTTTCTGATTGTTCGGGAACGCATACGGATGGCGCCCCGCCGCTCGCTGACTTTTTTCTTTCGAGTCTTGCACATCTTTTAAAACAATTTTTTTTTAAATCGGGGGTACAGTTACAAAGTCACATGACCTTTTGTCTTTGCATGTCAGCCCGAAATTGATTTTCGTGGTTTGTGTACAAAACATATATGGAAATGCCATTTTTTCCTAAAAAGAGATAAAACATTGGTTATTGGGTCTTGTTTAAAGTTTTGGTGTTTGTTTTGGGAGTCAAAATAGTTGAATTGTAAGTAGAAATAAAAAATAAAAAGAATAAAATAAAATACAGAAGTTGAAAAAACAATGAAATACATAAGAAATTATCAAAATAAGAGATGACATAAGGAATAACCTAGCTCTTCCAAAAATTGTTATCATTATCGTATTATTGTTTCAAATGGTCTAACGAATACATGTAGTGAAAAAGAATACTTAAATATAAATAATATATGATGTATGGGTAAGGCGAGGCGTCAAAAATAAATATACCAGCCAGCGGCAGCTAACTGCACTTGTGCGTCCTGGCTGCATTTTTTAAATTAGCTCAGCCGGCTACTGCTGGCGGTAGGAAATGGCATTCAAAAGCATGCGCCGGCTGCCGCCTTTCGAATGGAAACCGAGCCTCAGATCCCAGCCTGGCGCTAGCCGGCTGGGTTAATAAGTGAAAAATAATTGCCCCAGCCAGGCTTCGGCCGTAATTGCAGCCTCGATGCGCCAATACGTGAGGCGACAGCCTGCTTGGACGCCTCGCCTAAACAGGTGAATTTTATGACCTTATTTTCATAAATTACCATACATATGCAAAAAATTAAATTAACCATAGTATTCAATACACTTGACTTGACATGCGTGCAAATTTTCGCGGCGATCGGACGTTTCACGGCCGAGATCTTGGTGCGCCAAGACATATCAAGACCTCAAATAGCCCGGCCCTTTTAGGGTTAAAGGGAAGTCCACCCTTTCAATAGAAGCAGAAAACATAAGTCAGTGTTCTATGTATTTCTAGGGGTGGCCGAATTTGAAGTGTTTTTTCTTCTTCTCCATCTTCTCTGCTCACTTTTAAACATTGAAAGAAGCAAAACTATTTAGACAATTAAGGAAGATGAAAGAAGACATTAAAAAAATGACATAACGAAGGAACGCATGAGGAAAGATTAAAAGAAGGAAGAAGAGAATAAAAAGGATAATAACTTAAGAAAAGAAAAAGAAGAATAAAGAAAACTTGAAGGATAAGAATTAGAAATAATAATAATAATAATAATAATAATAATAATAATAGCCTAATAGTCCACTCCAAATTTTATTAAACCGAAACGGAAATTCTTTTTGCCCAATTGATCGTGAGCAATACAATTTAAAAAAAAGGAAGAAGAGAAGAAAAAAGAGGATAAAACAGTACATCATGTAGCATAATCAAGGTGAGCCTATTAAGCATGGAAACCATAGATTTTTTAAAAGACGATGTACTTCATTATTTTGAGAAGTAACTCTGAAAAGATAAATGCATCTCATAGGACCTTACAAGATTTGCTCAGTGAGACCGAAAAACAATATGTTTGGAAAAGAAAGTTCCCATGTGTCCTTGTATATTACAGTTTTGTATGTGGTGCAGGATTCAATGTGCGTTTGGAGAAGATTGCACTGCATGCATTGTCCTCGTATCGTACATGTATGTGCTGCAGGATATATTCAGTATATTTAGAACCCTTTTTTAGGAACTCGTCAAAATAGCGTTGAAAAATTTGGGGTCATAAAAAGACCACAGTCTGTACTTTATGAAGAGTATTTCGACCAACTAAGTGGTGTACTTGTAAAACCTTAAAACAGGAATAAAGCCTTTTTTTTTTAAAGTGATAATTACTATATATTCAAAATTATGGTGTAATCAATAATCATTTCTGATATGTTTATTCAATAATCCTCAGATGTTCGGTAATTGTTGTTAGTGGTGGCAATTAAACCAGTATTCATAAAATCCTCAGATATATATATAAATGTCAGTAAACAAGTCAAAAGCGACCTCAGTTTAATTTTTTTTTTCTCTCTCTCCATCAAATAGTGAGCTTAATTTATCAAGAGAAATTGCGAGCAAAAACGTAGACGATGAGATATTTCATAATTTATATGTAAATCCCCTCAAAGGGGGTGTCCTCCAAAGAAGGTATTTTCCATAGTCCTCAGGAGACACTAGTCATACACGTACTGGTGTGCGCCCTAGGCTCATATTCAATTCAATACTTAAGTACAAAATTTAAGCTTTTTACTTTATAGTATTTGGCTTAGATAAAATACTTAGCCAATTCTGGTACTCAATTCAAATTTTTGGCTACCGGTAAGTATTTTACCCTATATTTAAGTCAACTCCTACCAGAATTAAGCCAATTATTTGGAGGCCTTGATTGGCAGGCATATGGTTTGCTTACGCAGTATTACAACCTGCGCACAATTATATCAGCGCGCATTTACTGCAATGCATCAATAAAATATTGTGCAAATACTTTGATTGACCGTGTGACGTCACAATGCTTATCAGTAAGTATTTTACTTAGATTTTGTCTTACGTAAGTATAAGTCTAAAATGCGATTTGAATACGAGATAAGTAAATTACTTAACTTAGCCATTTACTTGGTAATTTTTTTTACTTATGCGTATTGAATTGAATACCGACCCAGGTCTTTATGTGTGTGTGGACATAAAATACAATGTAGTGACTTATACATTTTGTAGGTAGGCAATTGAATGATTAAAATGTTGTATTTTCTCATGCATCATACATATTTGATGTCATAGACAGCTTTTACAATGTTAACATTTATTTTAGAACACTGTTATCCAGAAAAAGAGGTACAGTTTGGCTTGCAGGCCTTGATATTACTCCTTCTGTAGTGTCCGTAACACAGATCTGTAGTGTCCGTAACACTGGCTCCTACTCTTTTCTACCCTCGATATTGAAACTAATACACAATGATGCATTTAATTTGATACTTTATTACATCTAACTAATATTATTTAAATAAAATATTGATATTAAATTACTCGTAAGTTAATTTTTTTTATTTTTTTTAAATTAAATTCAGGGAAAATAGCTTATTTGTTTGCGAAATATCATATCCAGGAGAAAACCTTCAAGGAAAAGAGATTTTTGTTATTCATTGAGAAGAGTAAATGTATCAAATCAAATTTGAATTGCAAATTAGTAGTATTTAGTTATCAAGCTGTGATTTTACACCATCACAGACTTGTGTAATTTGTGTTACGGACACTACATACGTTACGGACACTACAAATGCCATTCATTAAATTGCAACAAAAAAACTGTTATGCTTAGCTGAATATTAATATACCACAGCTAGTCCCCGGAGGTAGTTACACAATGCTAAGTATATACAAAATTTGGAAATATTTTCACATAGCAGGAATTACACCGTTACGGACACTACAGGAAATTCCGGACAAAATTTATGATCGGAATGTGGGCATATATTTTTGTAACGCTTGTATCTTTGTTTGATTTTTAGTTTCTGATGATAGGACAACATGTTACTCAGAAAATATAACCAATTACCAATCGATATAATGCTAAAATATATGAATTATAGAGGCAAAATTATACACAAAGCTGTTTTTCAAAAAAGCGTTACGCTTGTCTCTATTCACAGAAGTAACCACTGTATCGCAATTCTTGGGTCAATTCTCAAGCCGTAAAAAATACTGAGTGGAGATAAAAAGGACTATAAGATGGCATGAAAAGATATGGCATATCTTGTGTAATTCCACAGTAACACCTTATGAAAAAAGTCACATTTTTGAAGTGCAAATGCGTAACAGCCAAAAAGTGGTATTTTTGGCCCTCTATTACCACTCTCACAAAGCCAACACAAAAGAAATTCCAAAAAAAGTTGCTGCCTGATGAAGAACTCATATGGTCCAACATTTCAGGCCACAAGATATTTGATTAAATGACTTTGTGTTTCCAGGAGAGATGCGTAACACTGTACGTAGAATAGTTGCACCCTGATTGTGGCTATACCGTTTACTCTACAACAACATAACAAGTTATCAGGACTGACCATGGAACAGATTGGTGACAAAATAGTAAATCAAACAAATGATCATCATCAGACATTCAATTAGCTGTCAAACTTGTCAGGGCAGCGTTTCTCGAAACCGTCATAACTACAAGTTCACCGACATCCCATTGAAACGCGTGTTAAACTTAATACACGCGTTTCAATGGGATGTCGGTGAACTTGTAGTTATGACGGTTTCGAGAAACGCTGGCCAGGTTATGTCAGCTCACACGAAATTCAGCATGTGGGCAAATGTATTGATGTGACACCGTTTTCTTCTCAGTTATCTCCAGGCACAAGGCCAATTAAAACAAATTATCACTTTTATGTTACCTATAATGTATCCGATTCGAATAATTGTACTTCAAATTTGCTAAAAGACATAAATATTACATTACACTACCTTTGTAAAGTGCACGCTTGTCAACTGCTACGCCGCGGGTCTGTCGGATAACTCGGATATCATGAATAGTGTATTAGCTATATTACACGCGAGCGCCGGATTGTGAAACAAACCGACAAGTCGCGGTCTTTAATTGGAACCGATTCATGCAACAAAATACTAGTAGTCTTTATTTCACAGTCTCCAAAAAAATTTAAAAAAAAACTCTTCCCCCTCGGCCTTTCTCCTCCTCCTCCTCCTCCTCCTCCTCCTCCTCCTCCTCCTCCACCTCCTCCTCCTCCTCCTCCGGCCTCCTCCTCCTCGACCCCCTCGGCCAGCTTAACCCTCCCCAACCTACTCCCCTCCTCTCTCTTCAATCCTCCTCTATAGTGGGGAATTTCTACCTGGGCCTGGGTAGCTTCTGAGCTCCTTCTCTATATAGCGGCCTCCCTCTAGCTCATCTTCTTCAAGTTCTTCCTCATCGCAATCCCTCCTCCTCCAGCCCACCTCTGGCCTCCTCTATATTCTTATTCCTCCCCTCTTCCTCCTCTCTCATCCTCGATCCTCTTCTCCCTCCTTAAAATGCTCCCTTACCTCCTCCTCCTCCTCCTCCTACATACATACATACATACATACATATTGGTATTTATTGAGCGCCTTTACATGAACATGCTCAAGGCGCTCCTCCTCCTCCTCCTCCTCCTCGATAGCTCAGCTCCATATTCCCTCCTACTCGAGCTCCTATAGCTCCCTCCTCGGATCCTCCGATCGACCCTGTAGCATCTCATCCTCCTCGATCTCTAAGAGAACAAAGTTCTGACATAATATTGATCAAGGAAATGACCCAATTGGTAGATCACTTTTTAATTCCTGGTAAAGTATTTGATTTTCATGGGAAGAGAACGGAGTCATCTATAATAAAAAAAAGTATGGACAAAATTAAACGCAGGAGGTGAATGGAGGAAAAAAAAATTGACACTGATGAGAAATAAATTTCCCCTACATCTGAGAAAATGGGAAAACTGGGAGCCTGAGCGAAGTAGAGGTGGAACGAAGTCAACAACCAAAATCATTTCGACATTGTAAAGAAACCTTTATCCGACTGCATTCCCTATCCACACAATTAGAATGGAGGGGGGAGGGGGAATTAAGGAAATGAGGAAGGGGAGGGGAGGGGAGGGGAGGGGAGGGGAGGGGAGGGGAGGGGAGGGGGAGGGGCCGGATATTAAGTCCAATTAAGGGACAGGGTTTAGATAAATCGTGTTTTAATAAAAAAAAAAAACTCAAATTTCTATTCCGTATAATATGTTGAGAAATATGAAACTCATTATTATATATATTCCTTTTTTTAAACTATTCAGTCTTTTTCTGAAAAGGGGGCATTGTTTTGTTCTAGTTTTGGCAATTTGGGGTTAAAATAACAGTGTATAGCCGGTAATATCTTTCTATTATGTGATTGTGATATATTTTCGTCCGTTACATTGTGAAATAATGAACAAGGTATTGTGTTGTATTTATTTTTGCTTATCAAATGATAAAAAAAGCTTTGTTATAATTATGTTGCAGTTTCGTATAAACTATGTTATGTACGAAAAAGAATTGGAGATGTGAGAAATAAAATTAATGAATAGGGCTAGGCTGGGCTGAGAATTAATATGTTTTTTTTTTTGTAACAAGGAAAGAATATATTTGTATTGACTATATAAATATGTGTGGATTTGTTTTTCTTTAAATAAATAACTACATGTACTTGATATTCGCCTAAATAAAGACGCAACGAATATAAACCATAGATGGCGTTCCATATAATTTTTCACATTTGCCGGATGTTAAAGTGTTTGAAGAATAACATCAAGCCCTAAATCGCTGCAACCACGGATTTCAGATTGTCGAAATGGAGAATGGTATGGATACAGATGACGAAGAGGTAGTTCTTGAGGTGAGGATTGAATAAAAAATACACTCTTTGTTTATTTTTAACAGAAGAAACTAGAATGTGATTGTGAGAACTGCAAGTGAAAGTTGAAACCGTACGACAGGGTTTACGGGGGAAGGCGGGGAAGGCACGGGGAAGTTCAGCGCGAGCTGTCCAGTGCAGTCCCGTTACAGAGCTGAGGAGCTCGGTCCGGAGGCGTCTTTTTTAAACCTAACCTTGGCCTTGGCCAGTTGAAGATTCTTGTAGACTGATGATTCAAGTATCATTTTTCAAAAAAATTTCAACCATCTATGATCTAGCAATTAGATCTAGTAATATTTATTTCGGCAAAAGTTATACCTTGGACTTGCCAACTTTGTAATTTAGACTTCTATTTATTCATTTGTTTATTGATTAATTAATTAATTTATTCGTTGGAACATTTAAATTAGGCTATACAGGATCAAAACATGACCAGCAAAGCCGTTTTCATCATCGTGGTAATACTAATAAGGACATAGTCTACAACAAATATTACAAAAAAACAATAACGACCATCGACCAGGGGCGGCCGGCGGCGATCCCGGGTGAATCGGGAAGATTTATACTTCTATGCAGTATCTACATTTGTATGTAGTATTCTTGTATTGAGTTTGATCACTGATGAAATCAATTGATAGTAGACTAGGGGAATGCTGAATCTGTTTTTAAATTATTATTTAAATTAACTTGAAAGATATTAGTGCTTTAAATGGTGTTTACACTGGCTCTTTGTTTTCGCAGGGATCCCCTCTCTATCAGTATTTAAAAGAAGCATGTCCAGATGATGGTTTTCAGATTTTCCAGAGCACAGCTGGGGCTGATGATGCAACATTATTAGCACGCAAAGAGAGTAACAGTCTGACAAGACAGCTTCAAGATGCTGGCAAATTCATCCAGGTAATTATGAGGTCTATTTCCATATTATAATGATGGATAGATTGTCAAATATTAAAGTGAAACTGTGAAGTCACATTAATATAGCAGGAAACTACTTGTCTTTATCAATTTTCTTAATATTTCACATTTGTTCCATTGGGATATCTGTATTTGCATGCATCAGACCATCCCTCTTCAAAATCATCCTGAAGAAAAAACAATTTATATTGAAGGTCCGCATACAATACAATGCACACATTCAACTGTAGAGTTGGAATTTTGTTTATAATTTGGTTGTGTCTTCTTCAAGGTCCAGACTAGTTTATTCAATTGAACATCTCAGTCTCTAGGTATCGTATCTACTTTTTATGCCTCCGCCACCGAAGGTGGTGCCGGAGGCATCATGTTTTCGGGTTGTCCGTCCGTACGTCCGTCCCGTTTGACCGTTATCACAATATCTCAAGAACCATTTAAGATTTAAACTTAAGACTCGAGAATAGTATTTATCACCATAGGAAGACGATCTGATTAGATTTTGGAGTACGTAGGTCAAAGGTCACAGGTCACAGAGGTCAACTTATGAAATTCCTTGTATTGAGTTTGTTAGCGCGATATCTCAAGAACCATTTGAGATTTAAACTTCAAACTTAAGGATAGTATGTATCACCATAGGAAGACGATCTGATTAGATTTTGGAGCACGTATGTCAAAGGTCAAGGGTCACAGAGGTCAACTTATGAAATTCCATACATTGAGATTGTTATCATGATATCTCAAGAACCACTGGAGATTTAAACTTCAAACTTAGTGATAGTGTGTATCACTATAGGAAAACAATCTGATTACATTTTGGAGCACGTAGGTCAAAGGTCAAGGGTCATAGAGGTCAACTTATGAAATTCCATACATTGAGATTGTTATCATGATATCTCAAGAACCACTGGAGATGTAAAAACTTCAAACTTAAGGATAGTATGTATCACCATAGGAAGACGATCTGATTAGATTTTGGAGCACGTAGGTCAAAGGTCAAGGGTCACAGAGGTCAACTTATGAAATTCCATACATTGAGATTGTTATCATAATATCTCAAGAACCACTGGAGATTTAAACTTCAAACTTAATGATAGTGTGTATCACCATAGGAAGACAATCTGATTAGATTTTGGAGCACGTAGGTTAAAGGTCAAGGGTCACAGAGGTCAACTTATGAAATTCCATACATTGAGATCGTTATCGCGATATCTCAAGAACCACTGGAGAATTTTCACTTCAAATTTAATGATAGTATGTGTCACCATATCATAATATCTCAAGAACCACTGGAGATTTAAACTTCAAACTTAATGATAGTGTGTATCACCATAGGAAGACAATCTGATTAGATTTTGGAGCACGTAGGTCAAAGGTCAAGGGTCACAGAGGTCAACTTATGAAATTCCATGCATTGAGATTGTTATCATGATATCTCAAGAACCACTGGAGATTTAAACTCCAAACTTGTTTAAATTGCTCTATGGCATGGGCATCATTTTCGACTGCGCGCAGTCAAAATTCCATCTAGTTTTTGAATAGGCTAGTTTCCCCACGATGAATGTACCTACATGCAATTAAATGGATTCTGACCCCCATATCCCTTTGAAAGGGGCGTAGTGGCAAATATTGTAAAAATTTGAATTATCACAACTTTCGGGCCGAAATTGGAAGGGCCGGGGTGGTTCAGCATTTTAAAGGAAAAAATTATATTTTTTGATTAGGCTAGTTTCCCCACAATGAATGTACATCAATGCCATTAGTTGGATCCTGACCCCCATATCCCTTTGTAAGGGGCATAGGGGCAAATATTGTGATAATTTGAATAAACACCAATTTCAGGCCGAAATGGTAAGGGCCGATGTGGTTCAGCATTTTGGAGGAAAATATTATGTTTTTTGAATAGGCTAGTTTCCCCACAATGAATGTACATACATGCCATTAAATGGATCCTGACCCCCATATCCCTTTGAAAGGGGCGTGGTGGCAAATATTGTAAAAATTTGAATTATCACAACTTTCGGGCCGAAATTGGAAGGGCCGGGGTGGTTCAGGATTTTGGAGGAAAATATATATTTTTTGATTAGGCTAGTTTCCCCACAATGAATGTACCTACATGCAATTAAATGGATCCTGACCCCCATATTCCTTTGAAAGGGGCGTAGTGGCAAATATTGTAAAAATTTGAATTATCACAACTTTCGGGCCGAAATTGTAAGGGCC